GCCGATGGTGCGGTTTGTGTTTCCTCTAGAGCGGCCTTCAAGACCGTTGGATGAGGCGGCGATCCAACGACAGACCGCACGCCAAGTCAGCGATCCGTGCCAAGGATCGAAGACTGCACCTTCCGCCTGCGTTTCGAGCCTCGAGAAACATAAACCGCACCCTCCATATGCGGTTTCAATGAAGGCAAAATTACCAGCCGCCCCTGGAGGGTGCGGTCTGAAATGTATAAATACCCCCTCCCCTCCTCCTCATTTTTTTCACATCACAACCCATTCCTCACTCTCTCTCTAAAATTATCTTACTATCCCCTCCCCTCCCAAAAGCCTAGGAAATAGTGGTTTGTTGGTTGCGGCTAAGTCCAATCTGCCATAAGAAAACATTTCTTTGGTTTTTCCTTCAAAACCAGCCAAATCTCTGTCTGACTTTCGCGGAAAAATGGACGAGTGGTTCGAAGGAGAGGAAGTTCATTATGATGAATTTCAAGCGGAATGTACTCATTATTCTGGTAATTTTTTGTTGTTGTTATAAGTTTTTTAATTAATCTATGTACTAACCTTGTTGTTATTCTCTCGTAGGTTGGGGACGACGTGGATATATACAACCAACGGTATTATTTGGACCAAGGACCTATTGATCCAACCGACTTGTACGACCAACCCAACCATCGTTCAAGGGATGTTTGGAACGATCATGAGGTACATTCAATTCTTCATCATTTGTCTTTCTTTTATTTTGCTAATGTACTTAGTGGAATATAAAATAAATTTGATCATTTTTAATCGTATTGGTTGTTTTCAATAATTTAATCGAATACATAGAGCCACTTACTTCGACTCTTTATAAAGAGATGCACGTATAAGGAAATGAGATTTTAAGCGATTATCATGATCCTCCCATTCCTTGGGAAAATCGGGAATTAAGAGATCCTCGGATCCCGCCTTTTTCTGTCAAAAAGGCTGCGTTTCTAAGAAGAAGTATACCTCTTCTAAGAGTCTAACGAGTGTTGCATTGTATTCGATTAAATTATTTAAAACAACCAATACTATTAAATTATTTACCAAACAACCAATACGATTTATGTTTATGTGTACATAATGAATTTTATTAATTTCAAATGTTTGAATATGTATGTATCTCTTTATATTATTATTCAGTTAGAATGTTAATTATGTTAATTAATTGAGTATGTTTGTTTTATGATAATATGTATATATCTTGGAAAAAACCATCAATTATTTAATTTTGATTGTTAATAATATAATTATAATAAAAATCTGGTTGAAACTAAATCATTTATTTTAATTAATTTAGTTATAAGAAAAAAACTGTTACTAATATATCATAAATAACGTGGAAATTTTAGCCGCTACAGGGGTACGACCAATGTGCTCCCATGGAACCTAATTATCTTGCCCTTTCTCAAAAGGGAACGGTTGGAGTCGATACCGGGACCTCTGGCGGCTCCATGTCGCTGTCGACACACCAATTGACGTCTGGAATGTGATTGTAGTAGGGGCTGGTACACAGTCACGAGCCACCTCATCATCATTATCTGAGTCTGACTCTGGTCCTGAATCATCAGCACCTTTAAGAGGGTCGGAGCAGTCTGCACTGACGTTGTTCTCTCCTTCTTCATCGGAGGGGCTCACTAACTGGTGTTGGAAGGGCATCTTCTATGATACCTCAACTTCGATTGAGGTCCAACAACAAGTACTGAATGAGCCGGACCAATAAATTGAATATGAGCTGGACCAATAAATTGAATCGAAATTTGTTCCCATATCACTCCCTCACCCAAACTGAAGATTCCGGGTTAAGTTGTTTTAAGTATTGTGTTTGCCCAAGTGTTAGGGCTTTTCGTTTGAAATTCTTAAATAATGTTAGTTTGTTCATTTTAAAAAGTGGTTTGGGTTTCTACGGAGTAACCGGTTTTTGGTTTTGAGTTATGGTTTGGTTTTCGAAAAGGATCGGGTCGTTACATTTTGGTATCAGAGCCGGCCCTCCTATGTTTCTTGGTCTCCAAGGAATACTGGAGTGATGATCTGAGTTTTTCAAGGTTTATGTTTTTTTAAAGGAAAGGAAAAATGGTGTCAGGTCAAAGGTTTGGCCAAACGATTCAGGGTTCTTTTAAGGATTTTTGGAAAATAACTAAATTAGGCTCGCGTGACTATGATACTTCTCCGGAAGGAGAAAGAGCAGATTTCTAAGAGGATCGTGTTGTGTAAACCCTTTCATGAGTGAGAAGAGGAGGTCCAAGGCAGCTCATATCCTACGGGGGTGTGAGATGATCAGAATAAAGTTCAAGAAGAAGCTAAGTATTTAGTACGTCAACAGGTAGTAGCCAAGGAGTTGCGGCACGGGGCGACCGTAATATAGTGGAAATGATGCAAGGGAGGCCCGTCAAGTTCGCGAAGAACGAGCAATAGGGGTTATGATCTAGAGAGTAGAGGAGGTTGAACTGTAAGCCACGCTAAGGGTACTTAAGCATATGAAGGGGTCAAACATGGAGACAAACTATGCGAAGCATGAGACTTGGAGAAGTCGTAAGGGACAAATTTCGAGGTCAAGTTTTCTCTTAAGGGGGGAGGAAATGTGATACCTCAACTTCGATTGAGGTCCAACAACGAGTACTGAATGAGTCGGACCAATAAATTGAATATGAGCCGGACCAATAAATTGAATCAAAATTTGTTCCCATCTCACTCTCTCACCCATACTGGAGATTCTGGGTTAAGTTGTTTTAAGTATTGTGGTTGCCCAAGTGTTAGGGCTTTTCGTTTGAAATTCTTAAATAATGTCAGTTTGTTTATTTTAAAAAGTGGTTTGGGTTGCTCCGGAGTTACCGGTTTTTGATTTTGAGTTATGGTTTGGTTTTCGAAAAGGATCGGGTCGTTACATCTTCCATCTTATCCAGCTCATGAAAGGCACCTTCATCAGCTCCATAATGGTAGTTGTGAAAACTACTGCTGCCTGATTGGAAGTTGTACTCGGGTTGGTTGGCATGGTCTTGTTGAACTTCTTCTTCATATGATGGGAAAGATTGATGATGACCTTCACCTTGCTCTTGGTACTGAAAATAGGAATGAGGATCATGGTAACTTTGGTAGGAATGATCTCCATATAATTCACCTCCACCATGGATACCAGATGTTTGACCGTCTCCAGAATGACTTCCAACGCCTACGACCGCCTCGGTGTAAACGAACATCTTGGCTTTGGAAAAATTGTTGGACCTCAAGAATTCGAGCATGGCATCTACTTCAATCTGAGTGGTTATGAGATATTCCTCGTGCCACAACGACCCGCCTTCTCTGTTTGGATATCGGTACACCATACAATCAACTCTTCTCGTGCCATCCATGCAAGTAACGTTAGTACACATTTGATGGAGGTCTTCAAGCATCGGTCTGGTAGCGACCTTTATTTTCTGAAAATTGCCACTGACGTAGGTGGCCCCCTTTCCGGTCTCTTCCGTGTAACAATTCCACCGTAACCCAAGCGTGAACTTTTGGAATGTCATCTGCAAAAAAAACCGTAGTTCAGTTAATATCATAAAAATCACAAATCACAATAAAAAGTAATACAAAATAAACTTACGAGTTAACGTTAACCGCAAAAACACTAAACAAGTAGGGAGCTACAACAGAAGATTGAAAAGGGAGAAGGAGAGGTGTGAAGAGAAGAGGTTTCCCGGGACCTTTTTTATAGGCAAAATCATCAATGAAAACGGCATGGGGAGTGTGTGGTTTTCATCTGCCATGCAACCCCACGTCTATCAACTTGCATGGCATCATGTTTGATGTCGGAAAAATGGGGACGACACACAAACCGCACCCGGGGGGGGGGGGGGGGGGGGGGGGGGGGGGGGGGGGGGTGCGTTTGTGTGGGCAAAACCGCATGTTGAGGGTGCGGTTTGTTTTGGAGAAACAAAACAGCATCTCCAACGTGCGGTTTTGTTAGGTCAGCCCAAGAACCACACCTAGGCCATGCGGTTCTGTTAGGTCGGACCCAAAACCGCATGGCTAAGATGCGGTTTTGGCCCAGACCCTTAAACCGCACCTTGTGCGTGCGTTTCACAGTCAAACCGCACCTTGGAGGTGCGATTTTAAAAAGCCTTTTTGTAATTTCTATGGGCTGGGTGCTATTTTTGTAATTTTTAAAAAAAATGTGCTATTTCTGGAAAAATCCCATTACCTCTCGGTCTAGACCGTAGACTAGATATATGGTTTGGTCTGGACCAGGCCACACCATTTCTCGACCTAGAATACACTTAGCAGTAAACTTAAGTGATACCGGGTGGATATATAATAGAGTTTAGTGGTACGCGATACCCTATTCTTAGTTAAGTGATATAGCTCCCCCAATTCTAATACTTTAGTGGTAACCGATGTATTTTACCCTACTAGAACATTAAAAGTACAAATTGAGTTTGTACTATACCATAAATAATTTTGTACAAACATGCATAATTACAAACTTGATTTATAGGTTAATTTTAAAAATACAAGTTCAATTTGTACAAACAAAATTTATAAAAAAAATTATAGATACAAACTAAATTTGGCATAATTCACTTCTCCATTCTTGTTTTTTTACAATAAATTCTATTATACCATTAATAAATTTGTAAAAGAATTTGTGTCATAACTTTTTTTAAAACCAAATAAACCATCTTTTAAAACATTCTAAAATTCCTCAATGTAAATTACGAAAGTGAAAATTGGGGAAAAGAATCCGATTAGCACTCGTCGAGCACGACAAAAAATGATACTCTGACTCTTCAAGGGAAGGGAGCAAAAGAGATCCAAAAGTATCTCCGCTTCCCGTCCGTCTCAATTATTACCCGGCGATTCAGCAGTAACCAGATAGAACCCATTTCCTATCGTGATTGGTTAACATCTCCGCTCACCTTTTCCAGTAATCCCTCTGACGCATTGATACCAACGACGGGAGGAAAAGAAAGAAGGAGAAGCCACTAGCAGATTTGAATTTGGTATCCATGATTCTGTTGCAGTCGCATTCTAGAATTCTCATCGAGACCTTGTCGAACCGGGTCCAGAAGTGCGTCTTTTCAGTTTCCTATCTCAGTTTCCAAAATCATTTACGTAACCTTAAACCTGTTACTTGCTTTCCCATCTTTTATTCTGAGCTCTGGTTCCGTCTGGTTTCAGTCTTGACAAGGCGGTTGAGCTCGATTACAACTGGGTTGAATTCGGAGATATTCGGTACCATGTTCAGGTGATTTCAAAGTTTGATATTACCTTTTGAATTCTATGATTTGGGTTCTTCAATTTGTGGCATTGCCTTTGATATCCCTGGAAAAATCAAATCTTTTAGGTGTCAGCAAAGAACCCCAACGTTCTGCTTCTGTCTGTGTCGCTGCCTGTCCCACCTCCAGAAACCGTGTTCGTGGGGGGACTCCCTTATGGAGCCATAGAAGCTGTCAAATCCGCGTATGGGTCGGTTGTACAGATTCTTGACCCTCCCAGGGACGGCTTTAACCTCACTTTGAAAATCAATTTGGCTAAACTCCCTACTGATGAAGGTTCTGCGACTTCCTTTCCTAAGGTCATTATGAACATGCCATGTACATGCAACACTATGTTGGACATTCTCATTTCGTCTGCCTTAATTGCATTGCCGGCATTCTAAATTGGCGTATGTTTTCCTCGGTTCGTGTGTTTTTGTTGATTAAGGCAGATTGTGGAGTTCCCTATTTCTGTTTCTCTTTATTGTTTATGTGAATATTGGGACCTGATACTGGAATGCGAGATATTTCCCTAATAGCTTTACTATCTTTATGAACTGAACATTTAGACTACTTCAAAAATAGGATGTTTGTTGGTTTTGTTGACCGTAATTTGAAACAAGAGTATTGTCAATCTTATTTTCAGTGCTACAACCTAGTTCTTTGTGCTATGCTGATTACAGTTGGCTTGTCATGACCTACCTTGACTATTGAAAAGTGATTCAACGTCTCGATTTGACTGAGTTGTTAAGTGTTATGGCTGCCAGGGGTTCCATACACATGAAACTCATCATAACTTTTCTATGTGTATTACAAGTTCTATTAGGCAGCTGTGGCTCTTAAGCTACAGGTTTTTATTAGTTGCAAACAAGCTCTTTTGTGCAGAGCGCAAGCAAGCTCTTTTGATGAAGATCGCATCTGTGAGGGAAGTCGTACTAGGTGCTCCACTGAGTGTTGTTCTGAAACATCTTTTGTCAAGGACTGTTGCTCCTGGTTTAGATGGGCTTCTGGCCCTTGTTCATCGCCCTAATGAGTCATTTTTCCTTTTTCCTCAGGTACAAGCACATTGACTTGTTTGATGCTTAGGTTCTTGTTATCAGATCTATCAGTAAATGTTTAGAGAATATTCACTATTATCAATATCTTTTTGTCAAGTTCAAGTTATCGCAAAACCAAAATTCCTTTGATATATCTGAGCAGAGGCCGTAACCATTCATGGCAGGCTGAAAGGGTGACGGTGGTATATCCTATGAGATTCAGCGACTCTGTAGATACTACATATGCAGCTTCCTTCCTACAGGTATATTCTCGCCTAAGTATCCTGCTTTGAAGATGTCAGTAGCTGCTGTCCAGTCATACCATTATGAAGATTAGATTATTATGTGTTGTTGGGACTGCTCATACATGAAATAAGAGGCCAAATTGGGAGTTGGTCGAAGTAAAGTTTACATCACTGGACTTTTTGTCCACTGGCCTAGAGTTGATTACTAGATTGACCTCCCTACAAGTCCTCTTTAACCTCTTACTAACTCAACTGAACGTCCATTTTCAAGCCCTGAGTTTTTTACCAATCTAAATAACCCTGGTTCTTTTGCATTTCTCTCACATTTATTTCCTTGATGTTGGTGAAAACCAAAATTCCTAGATATTTTTTTGGGTTCCTTTTTCATTGTTTCAATTTTCATTCAGGAATTTGTGGAAACAAGGCGTACTGCTGGACTTACTAGTGCCCCTGTGTGTTCCTGGTCTCCTGACCCTCCCCCTGAATTGAAAGAAGCTTCTGCTGAACCATTATCTGCAAATGCTGGATTTGTATCCTTTGGTAATGCTGTAATAGGTCCTAAAATTGGTTTGCATTTGATTCTTCGGTAGTTGATCTGATCCATACTTTCTCCTACTGGTTGCAGTTATTTATCCCCGTCATGTGGAGGGCGGCAAGCTGGACCGGACAGTATGGAATCTGTCAACATTTTATGCATATGTTAGTTATCATGTTAAGGTCAGGTCACCCTGCCGTTAAAAAAGAAAAGAACTATAGAGCAGATAAGATTGCTTAATTGATTTGTTTATTCTCTAAGCAAGGCTTTGTAGCTGGTAAGACTGATCCAAAACCTTGAAAATGCTGAATATCTCACTATAGTAGTACTTGAAGTGCACAAAATGTCTATTACTCAATAGTGAAGTTTTGTGCTAGAATGGAAAATGGCTAGAGTAACTGAGTCGACTGCTATGTTCTAAAAACTTTTCCTAGTGTAGTCAGAACCCCTGCACTTAAATTAGGTTAGAGGATGTTTAGTTTACGTCTCACTACCATTTGACCTCTTGAATGCTTCTTGATCACAAATGTTTCATCAGTTGGGTCTGTTTGATTTCCATTCAGTCAACTTCTTATCTACCCTGATCTTTATTAAACAGTGCACAGAGGCTTTCATGCATACTCGAATGCGGAGGCGTGTGGAGGGTATGATACAGGTAATACACTCCCTAATCCTTTTTCATGTTTATGGAGACACTGATAGATGGAAAATTGAATCTGGTCTTTCTTGATCTGCCCTAAGAAGCCAAGGAGTGAATACTTAATCAATTGAAATGAGGGCCTGGTAGGGTAGCTGGGGTACTAGTGGATCTTGTTCTGAAAATATGTTTTGCGTGCAGGCCCTGGATCAAGCAAAACCAGAGTCGGAGGAGAAAACAAAATCTCCGAACAATCGATCCTTGAAAAGGCTGGTAGGTTTATGTTGACTGATACACAGTTCGGACATCTAATACCCTATGCATATTTGTTTTCTCTATTATTTATGCCTGGCCATGGAATCTAGAGCATCAAAGAAGGCCGAACAAATTCAAAGTCGTAAAGGAAGGAACTTGGTTTGTGATGGCCCTCCTCACTAGATCAACTTGGCCCATCCCATCCCGTCCGGTAGGAAATGGTTGACATGCATGAACTCTTGTCTTCAACAGCCGGTAGGGGTCCGATTTTGGTGGGTTTGTAAGGGCAATTCGTTTTTGTTTCGTGGTAAGTGCAATCTTGTTCATGCTTTGCTTTAGCTCTCTCCAGTAGCTTGGGACCTTGGATGTTATCTCTATATGATCATCATATTCTGGTGTGAGATTCAGACTTTGAACTGATGTTGGAGATGTCTATGTCCCTCCCAATGGATAAGCCATTTATTTGTTAGAGAGGATAAGGCCAAGTAGTGCATCATTTCTTTTTTCTCCACCTGGCTAAAAGTGAAAGTCTCATTTTTTCAATTTCAAAGAAAAAAAGAATGGAAAGCGCGAAATCATTGTCATTAGCATGCCTGTGTCTGCTGTTTTGAATTTTAATTAATAGGCTCTTCTCGAATGCGTTTTTCTTTTTAGTGCAGCCAGCCTAAGCCTATTCCTTCCTGCCAAGCCAAGGAAATGCCCAAATGTCATTGTCGTGCCTCAAACCGAACCGGTTAAGAATTTAATGGCTGTGGTTCAACCGGGATACAAATACAACACTCGCTCCCCTGTGCTTTTGAATTAATCTAATCGAGATTCAAGGCAGCTTGCTTCCAAGATTTAACAACCAACTGAACCAACGGACAGCAAGAGGCAGGGTTTTGTACAACCAGAGAGTATGAACAAAAGAATCCATCTTAAACCCGCCCACAGAAAGAACCAAATCACCGGAAAAGAGGATAAAGGGAAAGTGAAGAAAGAAAAATCCGCAAAACAAAGGGCAAATCACTAGCCCAGCCTGAGTGGATTCACGCTGGCCATACCCAACCCAACCCGACCCAACTCTCGTCTCTTTTTCTTCGTTGCATTGCATTGCATTGCCTATATTAAATATCAACAATATGAAACCTAATCCCTCCCTCCATTGCCGCAGCCGGACAGCCCAATCTGATCATGGAAGTCACCAAGACAGACACGAGACGTCGATGCAGATAATTTGACATAAATGTCTTTGTTGGATAGGAAAATTCGAAATTGGGCGGACAAAAGCACAAGTGAAGTTGGGGGCGGGCATGTGAATGCATCAAGTTTTCGAGGAAAAGAGGGGAATATTGGCACTGGCATTTCCCTCTACCCTTTCCTCGCCCACCCAGCGAAACGAGGAGTCGCCATTGATATATATATGTATGTACCCGAGGCAAGTAAGAAGGGTTTTGTGGGAAGGAGCAGAGGAAGGACTCAGGCGGCCGTCGGCTGGGGAAAGAGAGGGGGCTCCTTCTCCTCTTCTTCCTCTAATGGCGGAGAGAACCATAAGAAAAAACCCCACCCCCCAAGAAAGCAATTATTCATTTGATAGATTGACCCACTCTTTTCACCCCCATAAAATAAAAAAACACGGCGGCGGCTCTTCGGCAACGGCAGCAGCAACTGGGCTTCTTCTTCCTTTCTGCCCTGTCTTCATTCATCACTCTGATTCACTGTCCATGCTCTCCATCCCCTTCAATCCTCTCCGTTTCTGCTGCTGCTTTTCCCCCACAACCACAACATAAATTGAGAGATATTAGACCCAACACACCAATAATTCTGCAATACCACCACCACTTGTATCTACGTGCCATTTTTATATTGATAATAATCCCCCATCCAATACAGCATACAGAAATTACAGATTGACCTGACCCACTCCCCCTGGCCCTGGCTGCATAATTATATTAAAGTATATCGCTTTATTAGACAAGTTTTAGAGAGATAGAACTGGTTGATGACGTTACTAAAACTCTATTAACAGAAAGACCAGATCTAAGAAGAGAAGGGGGAAGGATTGGCATCCGTGTCCACCTCGCCTACCACACATTATCAGATCTGTCCCCTTCCACCGCCCCTACTATCATTCCTATCTCTTCTTTTTTCCCACTCTAAAGGAAAGGGATGCACATGAATTTGCAGCCCATTGAATGGTTGGTTTGAAGTTTCCTCCCAATCCCCTAGGTTACGTTCTTGATGTAGCCAAAAAGGCAAAACAAGCTAGGTTCTTTAGCTGCCTGGATATCTGGATCTTGTTCTCTCATACCAAACCAAGTCCCAACTACAAGACACAGCGGAAGGGAGGGGGCACAGATCTATCTATCTATCTATCCAAAGCCTGATCTAATCTCATTCATAGCCAACAATTCTAAGTGGGTGGTTATTGATTCTCTCCATTTCCATTGCCCTCCTTTTCTGTATTTAATAATTTCAGCACCAACATGATAGATGAGAGAGAGAGATTCAAGCATTTACCTTCTTCACACTCTTCTTCTCTCTTACTTCATACCTACTCTTCGTCAAATCAGACAGCCACATCCCTGGAAAGCAATACTGCCCACCCCAAAGAACAAACAAACACCCCATTATCATCCGCACATGCAAACATGATGTATCATATTTCTGGGTTACGATTCAGAAACCCATTCAGAGCTTCAAACAAGCACATGTAATGGTTTGCTCATCAATGGGTTCTCGTTATTAATCTCTTTTAGGTTAGGGTGTCCACAACTTAAGCTTCCATTCTTAACCAAAAAAAAGCTAAAGCTTTAAAAAGGGTTAGCTGGGTTTGTTACCTGAAGGCCTCTATCAACATTTTTGGCCCTCTTCTTGGGCCGTTGAGGAAGCTTCGTGCCTTTCATTACCAGGAAATCATCCTCCTTTTCCTTCCTCGACAGCGAGAGGAAAATCCTCGGCCACTCCACCACTTCTGGCACCGCAACCGGAGCTGCAGCTGTGTTATTATGAACCGCAGCTGCACCACCATGGTCCAACTGGCCTGAAGTTGACTCTGTGTGGCGGCCGTGCCCGTGATGGTGATGATGATCAGCAGTAGCTGCAGCTTGGTGGTGGTTCTGATGCAGCAAAGCAGCTGCTGATCCATTCAATTTCTCGTCCCTGCTAGACCGAGAGGTGGGCTGCTGCTGTTGGTGCTGAGCCTTTTTATCAACTTTGTCTGGAGTCGGAGGAGATCTCTTCCCCGCCGTAGTAGATCTAGAAACCACCCGACTTCCACCGCCACTTCCTCCACCACCAGTACTAGGCCGAGACGGGGACCCATTCCCAGCAGATCGCTTTTCCAAATTCCTGGTCATCGCCACAACCACCATACAACCCACCACCAACAAAAAAGAAAGGAAAAATCAAGCCCACAGACGAGTTCAGAAAAACCAAACAAACAAAACAAAAAATAAAACAAAGGCTGGCTGGCTGGCTTCGTTGGTTCTACAATCTGTTGTGTTCTGTCCGCGTGTGCGAGACTTTAGAAAGAGAGACAAAGACACAGAGCTGGAGAGAGAAAGCGAAAGAGAAATGGAAAGAGAGAGAATTAATTGTAAAGAGATGTGCAAGATTGGGTATTTTGGGCATCTGTAGACTTTGTGAAGTCCAAAAACCCGAACCCAAATCCACAGAAACAAAAAAGAAATAAAGAGGGAAAAAAACTGATGAATCAAAAGCAATTAACTACACAGCCAAGCAAAGCTAATTTATCAAATCCCTCCCTCTTTCCCTCAAATCATCACCACCACCACCACCACCATACAGTCAGACACAGTCGGCCATCACCCACCTTACAAAAGTACAAAATCATCATCATCATCAACATAATTGAGTTAACCAAGAAGACACCCTTCCCTTCCCTCTCCTTATTAAATCCTAAAAAACACCAAATAGCAAGAAATTTCAAAAAGCCCACCATGAAACAGTGAGATTCAATCAACAAAACCAAACCCTCACATACCCATAACCAGAAATCCACAAAAGATTTCATCTTTGGACAGTGGAGATATGGGGACAGATACATATGGGAGGTCCTTCCCTCAAATACCCATATAACCAGAAATCCACAAAATATTTCATCTTGGAGATATGGAGACATATACATATGGGAGGTTTGATCCCTCCCTCCTTCCATCAAATCCACCCACCATGACACCATCAGATTCAGCTAGCTAACCTAACACACTAGGTGGATGATCGAGATCGGAAGATTCAGGAAATTACCTCGTAGTCCCTACTCCTGTCATGTTCTTACGACAAAAACCCAGCACACAAACAACCCCAGAAATGGCGAAAGGGCCAAACAAGGGCCGGCTTATGCTGATGCCCTCTCCCAAACCCCACGTATCGGATTGACCACTAAGTAGTACAAACAATCACAAGAAATATATACTATTAACTAGACAAAGTCTCTCTCTCTATTCTTTCCTTTTCTTTAGAAAATTGGAATACCCACTTGGCTAGCGAAAAGAAAAGTCAGGAATCCGAAATCACTCAACTCAGTTCGCCATATATATTCGCTCAAGAGGGTAGAACCGTAAATCGCTCAGATGGCTCCCTAACAAAAGTTGCTTGCTAGTGCTACTATGTATGGATCACAGCGACGAACGACTTTGCTGGATTTTGAAATGAAAACCAATTAGGAGTCAGAATAGTGCAAACCCCTAGTCCTTTAACCACCAAAACCCAAACTGATTGATTCGAAATCCCTGAATTGAATGGATTTTCAGTAACAAATACCCACGAAAGAGAGAAATACATATATGAACGATAACACAAAACTGCAGAAACACCAAAAAATGAAGTTGTACGAGATTGAACAAGACAGATAGCGCAAATTGTTTCATCGGGTTTACCTATGCGTGAGGAGAGCGGCGGTTTCTTTCCTCAGGTTGCCTCCTCTGCCGTTGGTCGTTTGCGGTGGATGTAGTGCCGCCTGCGGCGGCGGAGGAGGCATAGACGGCCCCGGCAGCTTGCTCTCGTCTAGTCTCCTGGGGACCTTATTGGCGACGGCTTGTTGCTGCCTGGCTTGACTGGAAGATGAGGACTCATCGGTTAGAGCCCGGATCTCCGACCGGGATACCCTCGCCCTCTTCTTCTGACCCCATTGCAGCAACATATCGCCGCTCCCGCCCCGGCTGGGTGGGCTCGCCTCTCGTTTGTGGCTCTGATTCGGCCCGTAGTCGGAGCGCGACGGGCTCCCGACTCCGACGCCGCCATTGCTGCTGCTGCTGTGGTGGTGAAAATCCTGCGTTCTGGACGGCGATCTGTATCTGAACCCTTTGATTTCGTAACCTGCGGAGGATGAACTGACTCCGTTTGGGATTGACCGGCCGTTGTCGCCGCTCGTGCCGACGGTGCTGGTGGGCTTCTTGCCGTTGGGTAAAGGGAGACAATCTGGGCTTACTCTCTGATATCTGCAACCAACAACCAATTTTTTTCACTGGTCAGCGACACCCAAAAAAATTAAAAGAAAAAAGAACATTCAAACAAAGAAACTATAGCGAAATCCAATCAGAAGGAAGCCATTTTAATCCAAACAACCGAAATCTTCAGAAGAAAGACACCGAAAGACCATTACTCGAGTGGGTTTTCATCTATACATAGTGTAATCCGCGATTTAAGAAGGAGGCTAGAGAGCTCTGTAACTGAATAGAAGAGATAGAGACTATGGATTTTGGTGGAATTGCAGGAAGCAGGGCTGGAATTAGGGATTCTTTCTGGAATCTGGATCGTCCCCGCTGTTCAAATCGGGAACAGCAACGGGGACTGGACTGCTAGAAAACCCTAGAGCAGGTGGATCTTTTTTTCTTTTCTGGGTAGGGGGGGGAATTCCAATCCAATGTTCAGAGAACAGGAATCATTCCCAATTCACACTACCGGGAGAGGAAGACGATTCAAGCGGAGAGACTCTACCGATTTCTCCTCCGCCAAGAGACATTATTGGAAGAGAGATGAAATCTGCAGATGGAAAACATTATTGGAAGAGATGAGGCGGGAGAAGGAAGAAGGAAAGGGTGGGTGGGTGAGTGAGTGAAGGAGCAAAAGGGGAACTGCCAAACAGACTGCGGCGGCGGACAGGGACGGAGAAAGCAGCAACAGCAATGAAAACCGGATCCAGAAATCGAAACGTCTAAGACGACCTCAGCGATCAGAAGAACAGACAAAATGCCGCTCACAAGTCCAATGAGAAATCTTAGCAAAAAAAAGAAGATCAGCCACTGCTCAAAAGAACCCATGACTCAAAAACACAAAGCAGAATCTCAGAATCACCAAACACAAACAGAAAACCCAGAACAACGAAGACGAAGACCGAAAGAGAACAGACGAGGAGTGAGGAGGAACAGGGCACGGACCTCATCATTGTAACCATAAACAAAACAGCTGGTGATGGAATTCAGATACGTTTCATCAGGATAAGGAATGGCCTCCCGTCATCTTCCTCTTCTTCGGCTCCTCTGTCCGTGTACCCAGAAACAAATCACACACCAACCCCTCCTTCCGCCGGAAGATTTTGGGCGAGGAGTCAGAAGGGGGAAGAGATAAGGGACAAAGAATGGAAGGTAGTAGGTGAAAGGGAAAGCGGAGAGAGGACAGAGCAGAAGAACAAAATGAAGAAACAGAGGAAGGCACCCAGAGAAGAGAAGAAACACACAAAAACAATGTATAGGAGGAAGGAGGCGATGAGACGAGGAAGAAATAAACATAGGGGAGAAGAAAGAAAAAACGAAAAGAATATTAATACTTAAAACCACTTCTACAGTGAGGGGAGAGAGAAGGTAAGGGAAAGAGCCAAAGAGGTGAGGTGGGAGGTTTATTTTCGGCTGACTTCTCCATTCTGCCCTTCCTTTCTTTCCCTATTATCCTTTCGTTGCCAGGTTCAAATGGCTTGTCTCATCTAAATCTTTCTTTTTCGGTTAATTCTCTAAATCGCCCTAATTTTTATGCTTTGAACAAACATTAGTTGAATATTAAAAAATATCGCAATAGATACACAATAGTGTAGTTACGTAGTTTATTGTTCATTTTTTACGGTCTACATAACGAACAGTGAGTTATCTGAGAAAGTTGATGTGGCAATCATGTTGTTGACGTTATTGGTATAAATATAATTATTATTATTGACGAAATCAATTGAAAAACGTGACACTTTTCCTTAAATCCCTACATTTCCAAAAATTTGTAATAGTTGTTACGCAAAATCAAAAGATGAGATGACTAAATACCTCCTCTGTCGATATTAGTTCTTTCCTCATCGTTTTTTTTTCATATTCATGTGATTATTGGCTACTTTTCTTCATTGCAGGAAGTAGGGTTTGAGATATCATCAACAAGGAGGTTGGGTTAGAATAAAAGATTTCAGTTTCTCTCGTCCTTCCACTATCGTTGTTGCCAAGTTTGCAGCTAAATGAGATTTATATTTCAACTTGGCGTGAACCCTTAATAACTTTTGGATCACTTAACTTCCATGGAGACTTTGAGATCCAATGCCATCAAACAATTCATTATTTACGTCAACGGACAAATTTTTGTGTCTTGAGGATTGGTGAGCCTAGTTTCACACCATATCTCATAAATTATTATGTTATAAAGGTTTAATATGTGAAACATATTTGCTTGAAACTACAAAAAAACATAGAAGAAAGAAACAAGTTTAACTTCGACTTCTGTTTATCTATTGTTATCTTGTACTTCCACCTCTTTATGGTCGTTACATAGCAGCGAAACTACAAACAGAGCAACCCCCAATCATCCTTCATCATTTATTCTCATGACATCCAATACAAATATAATGCATAAATGAGATTCATCAAGGCATTGAGGCGAGTATCTGTTGCATTATGAGCAAGACAAATATGAAGTTTGTCATAAGTAATTGATTATTTGTCAAGTTCTTCTCCAAGAAGTGTGTTCCAAATCCAGAATATAAAAGATTCAATGTTGATTCTAAGACCCATGATCATTTGATGTTTCGATGTCACCAAAATCTTAGGCACATTCTCATCCTGGTATATCTTTGCCAACACCAGTTACTTCCTTGATGAGTTGGTTGTTTGCATTGAGGCATACTATTTCTTCCCAACGCAATGTAGACTTTTATACTATGGATGAGTAAGAAACTCAAATGTCTTTGATGATGCAATTTTCCCCGATTAATATTTCGGTTTGTGCAGGGAAAGAACTCGAAGAATGGTAGACATTCTCAGTCTAGGGAATCTCATCAAATCTAGGCCCTCATTTGAGGAATTACGACAAAGTAATCTCGTGCAATTGTGCCTTCGGAAGTAACATCCTGCAAGGCGTATATTTACATCATCATCAAAGATGTTCATAAGGGATATAACATGAAAGCCGAGAGAATCCAATGTCGAGCACCAACGAGTGCTGAAGCCTGCACGAACCTAAAAGCAATAAAGATGGTTGCAGAGGAAGAGAAACACTTCTGTATGGGATCTTTCATGGGTTGTGTCTAGTCTGTTACTTGAACTCGTTTCCCATATTTTTGAGTGCTCAATGCTGATTTAATAATATGAGTATCATGTTCATAAAAATAAAAAAAAAAGTAGCAACTCCCTTCCCCCAAACCCTAACTAAAGAAAAAGAAGGAAATCTCATTAACCTCCCACGACTGCTTCATTTCTCTATAATCTAACGGTTCTCAATTATAAAAATAATTAATTACGATAAAGATCGCCGGTATCATTGGGGAGAAAATATGAAACTAGCCAAAGCTTGGGATTTTATATGTTGAGATTTTGGACCGATTCATTTCATGGCGTGCAATATAATATAATACGGTACCTTTGCTACTGTCCTTACAACATTGGATCCACTTTCTGCCTTGTTGTTCGCATTGTTGACGTATCTTCTTGGCTTGGACGCTGGACAGGACAACCCAATGGCAGCCGTTGGGTGGGATGCTTAAAAGCCCGCCCAATCAGGGTGCCCTTATTGCCCGGCCCGGCCCATCCAGATCTGATCCATTTAAACACCCGTGAAACCTACGTGTGGAGGAACAGGCAGGCACCGAGGAGCAAGCAGCACACTCTCCATTCACAAAACCAGATCATAGATACATGTTCATGTGTTCTATCACCAACAGGAGGCTGTGACATAAATGGCAAGAAACAGCATGATAACTCGATTATTTTAACATCAATAATCAATGTCCACAAATGATTGTTTTCCATTATGCCAATCCAAGCTGGAGACTTTTATCCCAAGGAATCCAGATAGAATGCCACTCACTAGCCCCACTAAGATTTATCAATTATGAGTTAATCACCAGCAAATCATATTTACTGAACAATTTGCCCATCACCACTAAACTATACACTATAACAAATTCCAAAAAGGTGGCTCGTTGCTTTACATGGCATGCTGAATCGAACTCTCGCCGCCCACAGTCATGAGACATGATAGGTTGAGGAACCAAATACCAAACTAGAAGGAATAAGAAATCACCATTCTATATGTTTCCATATCAATCGACATGTTAAAGGAAATAAGATAGTGCGAGAACTGATGTGTAACCTCAAGATTTACGAATGAATGAAACTTGAATAGTTGACCAGCGCATCAGCATTCCAGAGAATCTAACGGAAGAGCCTTGGCACTGATCTTTTTGGTACTTTGCCTTCGAGCTTTAGTCGTCTATATGATTCTCTAATGTGACAAGGCCTGATTGGTCCAGATTCGTTTCGTTCTGTCATCACGCTTCTTGCTACAAACAGATATGGGAAACACACCAAAGGTTCGTCAATTGAAATTGACTTGAACAGATATGGTAGATCGAAATCAATTGAGACATCGAACGATTTCTAATGATTAGAAACCCCAACTACAGGAAATTGCTGTCCAATGAAGCCTGAAGTAACTAATTAGATTAACTGAAGCGGTAGGGGCATTCGTACCTGTTTCAATAAGTTCACCAACAAACATTTTGGCTATCCCACAAACTACAATTGTCACTGGCATAGAAATCTTTTGTGACCCTGTAATGCTTACCAACAACTGCAGTTGGAAAAAAAAAAAAAAAAAAAACAAGAAGATGTACGGGGTTACTCAACGGTGTAAAAGATCAACCTAAACTCAACCATTTGCATAGAATGTACATTTTTAATATACTTGATAACAAGTTTTGACAGCTTATCAGACACTTGGGAACGACAAAGAATGATTCCTCTAAACTTGCAGCGACAAAACGAACATTACTCCAGCAGACCTCAATGAAAGAGGTCGTTGTGAAGTAATTCAAGTAAAGGGGGATTATCAAAAGTTCCCATGAAACATGTAGAGATGATCTCACACTTCTCATAAGACTCCAATTGATGTCTAGTGAAGGACTTCATAGGTTTAGTATAACTATGAGGCATAAGGCATGGAAAGTGAGAGATCAATCTGGAGTTCAAAACATCTGGAAAGGAAGTTGTAGATCATCAGGAATAACAGAATGGACATATACCCTTTTCATGGTAGCCTTCTGAAGGGCAGATCTCCTGAATGATTCGTATCTACTCATCTGGTCTTCTGTGAACTGTGAGAGAATAGTTCTGAAACATAAAAGAAAAGTAGATCAGATAGATGCATCTTTCATTCCTCCAGATACACTGGACGCTCCATCAAATTGGCAATCATAATTTAGGGGCTGGCTTGAACCAATCCACGTAGTGTGGAGCTTGACAAGGCATTTCAAGTAGTAGTTCACAGTTCTATCTTTCAAATAACACAGTCTAATCAAGTTAGTCCTAGTTAGTTCCTACTAGGGGCCAGTTCCAAGCCATACCAGTACCACAACAATGCAGTTCAACCTTTGCTGGACATAGCAAATTACTTCACGACCAAATTCAACGATAGAGGGTATGAAAGAGAAGCCTAACGAGGAACTCACTGCATCTTGGCCATTTTATTAGGGTCGGCACTCGAAGGGAACTTGGCTAGCTCTACTTCCACGTTCTCCTCCTCTTCATCTTCGTCCTCCTCCTTGCTGTTGCGCTTAATTTTAGCGGAGGCCGAGGCGGGAGCCGAAGGCGAGGGGTCGGAAGGATTGACACCGGCGGTGCCAGTTTCGTCGTCATCTGGGGCTGTGGCTGCGTCCTGAGAAGCGGGTGCAGCTGCGGAAGGAGGTGAAGATGGTCGGCCGTCGAGGTCGTCAGGGGCAAGCGGTGAATCAGGCGGGGATTCTTCCTGCTCCTCGTAAGCGGCCTCGAAGGGGTCCTTCGATTGGTTCATTCTTGTGCAATCTTTTCTGTAACTTGGCGGTTCTGGTTCAGCGGGTTTTTATAGGCTGAGCAAATCGTCGAACAGGTAGAGTGCGAAAGAAAAGAACAATCAAAGAATGAAATTAGGAGATTGTTCAGATTGCACAATTCTTTCAGCACGGCGCAATTCTCGGCGACGGAGGTTTGGCCAACACAGAGTAATGCTCGAGAGCCGAGATATAAAGTAGACTTACCGACCTGGAGGTTCTGACGGGTTCAAGAGACTAATTGTAATTGGTCACCAAATTAAGTCGCAGGTGACAACTGATCGCTAAACTCTGAAACATAGCACAGAGTTCACTATTAGCAACCACAAGCTCATGGACCAAGATCCATCCAAATCAACCACAAATAAGCCCAACCCAACTTATCTATAAAAGCCCACCTTACCCGACATCGCCACCCAATCGGACACTACCATCGAAACACCTATAGGCCCGCCAGGACATCTCCTAACCTCTCACTGTCTCACAAGGGCAAGGGATCCATTCCTGATTCCTCCTATCTTCGTCCTCAACTCCGTTGACTTTGACTCTTGACTGTGGTAGGCTTAAGCTCAATACAAGAGGATAATTGTGACAAGAAGGATGGACATGCTGTAATCGATGGCGTATCTGCTTATATTCACTTGAGTAAACTTCATCCCGTCCTTAGATTTGAACACATCAATTAAACAGTTAAAAAATGTGAATGTCTTTTTAATTAATGATAGAGGTAGTTTGGGTATTATGAAAAATTACGAAGTAATATGAAATGGACTTAAAAATAATATAAACATACAAACAATACAAACTAGAATGACAAAATATACAAACAGATTTACAAACAATACAAACATACACAAAATACAAAACATAAAAAATGGAAAAACAACCAGATTGATTTTGGAGGCTCCATCCCTATGTAGAGGGGTACCGTCCGAAAGTCAACCTAGTTGTTTTTTAGACATACAAACATTGTGGTTGATTTTGGAGGCAAAAATGACAAACTAGACCGACAAACCATACAAAATAGAAAAAACACTCGGGTTGACTTTTGAGGCTCCATCTCTATATAAAGGAGTTACGTCAAAAAGTCAGCTATGTTGTTTTTTCTAAATAAAAATCAGTACAAACATGGTTGACAATAGTAACAAAACTTACAAACATTACTAAAAAAACCGACAAACATTACAAAATAACAAAGTTTACAAACATTACAGAATAAACCGACAAACATTACAAAGCATACTAACGGTACAAAATAACACTATTTACAATACAAATTGGTAAAGTTGTATTACAAATTAATGAATACAAAAAATAACAAATCATAACATAAAGTATACAAGATAGACTAACAAATATTATAGGGTTAATAGCATTTTGTACCCCTCTACTATGGTAAATTAACAAACGTACCCCTCTATTAAATTTTTGCACAAACATACCCTTCTAATATTAAAACGAAACGAGTTTACCATTCCATCCAATAATCTGTTAAGTAACCGTTAAAAGGGTTGTGAAATGACTTAATTACCCTCGATTACTACTTAACACTCCTAATTTCGATCTTAATTTTATGTCCCAAATCAATTAATAAAAAAACAAACCCTAAACTAATTCACACACAGCCGACTCCGTCTCCCCTTCAGCGGCGGCGCTGCTCCCAGCATCTGAAGCATATACGATCGACATAAAGAATGGAAAAAGAAGGAAGGAAAGAAAGATCAAACTAAAGAAAAAAGCATCTTGAGAGTTGACTCTTGGCTGGAAGCCTAGAACATCGTAGCTATAACACTCTGATTAAAAATGGCTAAATTACACGGTTGGTCATTCAAATTACACATATCTTTCACGTTTGCCACCCGAATTACTTTTCTTTCTTATTCGCCATTAACTTTACGAATCGTTTCACCGTTGGCACCGACCGTCACCGGCCGTCCAATTCCGTAAAATCATCCTACGTGACAGTCAACTTAGTTCTTTGACCGTTAGTTTGATGACGTAGCAATTAAAAAATATTAAATTAAAAATTATTTTATCTTCCTTTCACTTCTTCCTCCCATCGATACTTTTCCTTGAATCCATAGAGAGGCCATTCTTATTCTAATGTGATTTCAATGCCCAGTGGTGGAATTTCGGTCAATTTCTAATTGATAGTACACTTTGTCATTAATGTTGAATGACTTGACAGTTGACTCCGGTGATTCCAGGCAATGGAGAGTTGTTCGGAATCATAGAAGAAGCCAACGCCATTGATTCCAGTCAACAGAGCGCAGACAAGGATGTCAATGGCTTCAATCAACATTTGATTATCTGACCTGCTTTTCCAGAATGCCCCCTTCTTATTGGAGCGGAAATCAAAAACAATTCAGAACCGGCTGAATACACCACCGCCATCTCCGGCGACCCCGAAGGGGACACAAACAGAGCCACAACGCGCGAGGACTCTCCAGGGAACAACTTCCATTGTAAACCCATCAACTGACGAGGTTGGAAGGGTCGGGCTTGAATTGAGTGTCGAGGAGAAGTTTTCACATCTACGAGTCCTTGAGCAATGAGGCGGCGGCTATAGCTTTACTTAGCCTCCACCGCGAGGTTGCTAAGAAGAAGAAGTTCTAGTGGCGAATGTCAAGGAGAGTGAGAAAGAGAAGGAGATTGTCTTGGATGCCGTTTCGGCGAGGAGGTGAAGTAATAACTTATGGCGGCAGTAATCCGTCGGATCCGCCTCCTCCTCTACTGCCGGTGGATCTTCCGTCTCCGTCTGTGCCCACTCCTTCACCTCCATCGTTGCCATCACCGTTGCCCACGAATATGTGCTCTATCCGGAGTCCGATTGGATTCGAGGAGAATGTTTGATGGGAGGAAGAAGTGGAAGGAGATAGAAATATTTTTTTAATTTTCAAATTAATTATTTTTTGGTTGCCATGTCATCAAACTAACGGTCAAAGGACTAAGTTGACTGTCATGTAGGATAATTTTAACGGAATTGGATGACCGGTACAAACTGCAAAACGATTTGTAAAGTTAGTGGCGAATAAGAAAGAAAAGTAATTTGGGTGGCAAACGTGAAAGATATGTGTAATTCGAGTGACCAAACATGTAATTTAGTCAATTAAAAATATATTTATACAAACTACATAAGCACTGCCGACCCACCCACACAAAAACCACACTTTATTCGAACTCAATCGGTCCGCAAAATCATTTCAGTTGAACTCCCAACATTACCAAAACACCATCCCTGACCAGTTAATTAGGCCTCCTGTCGAATCTCCACTGCGATCCCGTGAGTAGGCTAATCTCTCCCAACTTGACCATCCCGGTCACGAGGTTCCTGAAGTAACTGTGTCGAAGGAGGTCGATGACTGGAAGTCGAGATGGGCGAGGTTGTTGTCGCCGAAGCCGTTCTGGCTAGTGCAGTTGGACTGGCGGGTGCGAGGAGATGCCGGGGGCAGCGCCGCCCCTGAGTGGAGGGAGTAATCGCCAGAGAGACGAACGGTTTCTGTCATACGTGTGAATTAGTTTAGGGTTTTTTAACTGATTTGGGACATAAATAACCAAAATCGAATTTTGGAGTGTTTAGGAGTAAATGAGGAGCAATTAAGTCATTTCACATCCATTTAACGGTCACTTAACGGATAATTGGATGGAAGGGTAAACTCGTCACGTTTTTTATATTAGAAGGGTATGTTTGTGCACAAATTTAGTAGAAGGGTAATTTTGTTAATTTACCATAGGGGTACAAAATGCTATTAACCCAATATTATAAATCAAAATATATACAAATTACTCATATGAACATTACAAACACAATATACAAAATTAACAAACTAGAATGATAAACAATACAAACCGAATTGATATAAATATTATAAACTCGACTAATAAACATTACAAAATAGGTCGAAAAATATCACGAATCCAACACTGCCACAGAAAAATCTTCCTGCGTTGTCTCTGATCGCTAGAGAGCCTCCTCCACCATCGCTGGAAAAGTCGACCAGAACTCTCTCTCTCTCTCTCTCTCTCTCTCTCTCTCTCTCTCTCTCTCTCTCTCTCTCTCTCTCTCTCTCTCTCTCTCTCTCTCTCTCTCTCTCTCTCTCTCTCTCTCTCTCTCTCTCTCTCTCTCTGGGAATAGGTCACCTCTCTATTTCCCAAGTAGGGGTGGCCATTGGAGCGGTTCAAACCGCACCATATTAATATAAATCGCACCGCACCGCATGTCATTTGGACCGCACCGCATATTATACCGCAATAGAATTGGTGCGTTCAAACCAAACCGCTTAAATATGCGATTTGGTGCGGTTTGGAACGCACCGCATATTTGACTTCAAATAATTGATTGACATGTTTGAATTCACTTTCTATACCTGTAAGAGTGTGGTATAAGATCCAGCAGAACCTTCTCCCAACAACTCGAGTTATTGGGACCAACTGGTTTTTGACATGGTATCAGAGCTGGTTTGGCCAAGTGGTCATGTGTTCGAATCTCCACGACCCCCAATATTAACCTTTGATTAAAGCACAAGGTATGGTGGGCCTGTGCAAACTTCAAGCCAACGGGGCGTGTAAGAGTGTGGTATAAGATCCAGCAGAACCTTCTCCCAACAACTCGAGTTATTGGGACCAACTGGTTTTTGACAATACCCATGAATCATGATCCGTAATTATAAGAAAAATGAATATTTAAGATTGTACGTAGTAATAACTAATCTTACGTATATACAAATCAAATTAGCTAGTTTTGTATCGATTTTAACCACTCAAAATTATTAAGACCAACCAATTTGATAGGAAGTATGTAATTGGGCTCTCAATTTTGCTCTTAATCTTCGTCACTGTCATCACAACAACAACACAATCCTCCGGCAGCAGCTTCCAGTTCATCGTTGGAGAACAATAGTAGTAATTGTATCAGCCCCACCACCACCACTTGCTTTAATTTAACTGCTGCCGTTGCTACTGTTGATTCTTGTGTCGGAAGGGAATTCCCTCGAATAGTTGCAGGTGGTCATCATCACGTCGTTCCATCCCCTGAAGAAGAAGATCTGGACACGCAGCTCACTGGGGAGAGGCAGAGGAGGAGCAGAGGATGCTGCTCGTAGATGAACAGTTCGACGGCGGCGGGGAGTTTGTGCCGGAGATGTTCAGGAACTCGGCAGCGTTCCATTCTTGGCATCTCGATTTCGA